TTGTTCTTGTGTTGTGTGTCATGAGTTTTTGGCTGCTATTCGCTATGGCCCCTCATATTGAGAATAGATCTTAGAAGAGGGTCTTTCGTGTCATGTTATCTTCAGTATTTTCTGTCTAATATATCTTGTATAGGTTAAAATGAGTCCATACGAAATCCAAACGCAACCCTTTATATGTGTTGTAAGTGACAAATAATGTGACGCGAAAGTCTCTTAAAAAAAATCTCTCAACATTTAGATCTCGGTCTTTAGGTCAAGGCTTTAGAAAATAAGGAATTTTAACGAAAAGCTCCCGGTACTGTTCATTTTAACAAAAAACCACATTTTTACTCTAAAAAGTCAATCATGATACTATTCACTTACAACACATTTTTGTCCTTTTCGTTAAAACTCAAAGTTTTGAAGTCTTTTTCATTAGTTTTCCTTAGAAAATATGATAAGTTTATGATTGTTGCTTAAGGGGCGGCTCGTCTCCTACGGGAACAGATGGGACCAGTAATCCTATTGCCATCAATATAATATTTTCCCTTGCAAATTCATCCTGTACTTGATATATAGACACACACACAGAGCCTGCAGTTAGTGAGGGGTTTAATTGACGATCAGTATTAGCGTAGGTGGAGGACTTTCAACTGTTGTTGCATGCATGTGAATTGTACCGTCGTAACCAACAAGGATTAGCAATCGTATATGAAATATGAAGGTTCCATATATTTTTCTTCGCCAAAACGAGAAAACACAACCAGCGCTGCTACCTGAGCTTCTTACAAGTATGTCATCAAACATCTCATCTCTACTTTAAAGATAACATCAAAATAGGTAAGGCAAATTATGACAAGAAGTTGTTGCACGGGGGAGATAGATCTCACTTCTTACAATATATAGATCCGCCAGTGCATCCATGTACGTGTGAGCCTCTATCGTTAGCATATGTTTAATTGTGATTAATCGTAGTTAGGAATTAAGTAGTTAGACACTAGTTTGGGGTGTTTGAAGGAACTCCATTATATATTTGTAGGTAGATGATAGAGCATGAGAGCCTATAGAAACATTGGTAAAGAGGGCAACAATTTCTCTGCCAACAGGCAAATACAAACTAATAGTTAATTAGCTTCTAATTAGGGATTTGTTTATAATTAATAAACTCTCGAAATGTGATTTTGGTAATAGGCATGAGACGGCTACACATAAGAGGGAGTGCCACTGAAAAATGCTTATCCATTTACACCACCTTATCCAAGAAGCATAATTTTGTAACTCAATGGAGGAACAGCCTTCCCACAATCATTCAAACAGTCATATCTTGGTATTAATTTATGAGGCAAAATCAAACATGGTGTAGGGTTATATGACGACAAAGATAAGCCTAAGAGGTAGATATATATTCAATAGACATTTTATTCTTTTAGATTTGATTTCTCAATTAGTTTTTAATATGTTACAAATTCTAGAGTGGGACTTTTGCAATGCTTGATTGGTTTACAAGATTTAAAATGCACATCCCTATACACGGTTTTTCCTCCGATTGTGTGTCCATATAAGAAATAAATTAATATGGTTGAGAATTAGGTCAAGTTCCATATGATTTTTCTGTAAGGATAAAAGCGGCACCAAATTCTAATGGCACTAGCATCTAATTAAAATTTGAAAAGCAGATCAAAAAAAGAAGTCAATACCGACAGAGGCACTACGTAATTCTTAAAATGACATTAAGTCGTAATGAGGGGGTATTACATGGCACTATAGGGTTGCACTGGGACAATGTCCTTCTCAGAAAACAAATTTTATCCAAAGGGTGATATGGTGGTGACGCGAGGGACATAAAAGAAATTCTGAGTTGCTGCACTGTGCTTTGTGCTCTGAGTTAGTTTATGCATTAAGATATTTTATGTATGAAAGGGGTATGGGTTCTTTGGCTATAGCAACTAAACGGTATTGGGAATTGAAGGCCTGCATGAAACTTAGGGTTTTAGAAAATTTCTAATGAGATATATAGCAATCAATCACGAGAATCAAGCAAATAATTTTTTGTGTAGTGGTCAAGAATTTTGTTTCATTTTCACTTTAACGAAAAACCAAATTTTTATACTAAAAAGTCAATCTTGATACGATTCACTTTACATTTTATTTTGTCATTATCGTTAAAACTCAAAGTTTTCAAACTCTTTTTATTATTTTTACTTTTTTTTTTTTTTTTTTTTTTTTTTGCTATGCTAGATGGTTGATAACGATGAAGCTCAAGGATTCGCTTTCAATTGTTTGGTTTATTTTACTTTGTAGGTCAAGTAGAAGTGCAGTACACTATTTGTTCAATAGAAATTATTTGGTGTATCGATTACAAGAGAGTTTCTCTTCTACGCATGTCTTTAGTTAATTTGAAGAGGTGCAATATGGCACTACGATGAGAGATGATAAGTTATTATTACTATAATCTAATTATGTAGAATATTGTCTCTTGTCGCGTTGTCTTCGTACAAGGATAAATCCATCCCTATCAAGATTCGGCTCAATTGAGTTTATCCATTTTGGAAATATAGAATATGACCAGAAACACTGCACCCCTTTAGTTTAAGGCCAGTAACATTTTACCACTCAGTACTACAGTCTGGTAGTATTCCTCTTCACTTGGAAGTTAGAAGTCTTAGGTTTGAATCTCGTGGATGGCGAATTCGATACCAAATTAGGCTGCTCATTGTGTGGCTTTATCAAACTCCCCCTCCCCTTAGTGTAAAAATATCAACGTATTCAAAAAAAAAAAGACCAATAACATGTTGGTCAATGTCTTTTGAAAATCAGGCATGGTGCTTAGAGCGGCCCCCTTCATTTACTTTCCGTCATTGGGTTCATTCAAGCCTAGGGATGGGTAATGGTCATGACGGACGGGTAATCGCGGTTATTTACCCATAACCATTTATGTTCATACTTGCATAACCGTTTATCTGTTGGGTAATTACATAAACGGTTATACTCATACTTATAACCGTTTATAAACGGTTAACCATACCCATAACTGTGTACCCATTTAACCATAACCGTTTACCCATTTAACCATAACCATTTACCCGTTTACCCGTTTATCATTTTTTTACCATTTACCCCTTTTCACCTGTCTACATGTTTTTTCTTTTAACAACTTGAAAATTACAAAAGAAAATTTTGTCATAATTTTCATTTTCTGACAATTAAACACCGTTATAAGTACATTTTAGCATGCATTTTTCTATTTTAATCATTTAAGTCATCATACAATTCCAATAATTGAAATAATAGTTTATGAATCATATTTTTCTGCTACACCCAAGCAAGGCTTTAATTATAATCCATATGATTACAAAGTAAAGCTTCTAAAAACAAAAAGTAGTCATTATCTTGAATACTAGATGATTCAAAACTCCAAAATATTCCAAAACTAAACACTTTTGAACACTAATGCTTTATCACGTTCAATCACAAAGTCTTATCGACTCGTTGTCACCAAAAGAGGCCTACAAAAGAAATGTACAAATTGAATTAGTATCCCATTTAGGAACACCGACACCAATTAGTATGAATCCAACAAAGGTAAGTGATCACAGAAGGTTTACATTGTACACTTAGTTATAAGAAGAAAAAAAAAAAAAAAAAAAAGCAAACAAAAGTGGAGTACAAAATTAATTGAGTTAGTATCACCATTCATCAATATGCATAAACAAACGGTTTACATTCCATGATTTTTCACACACCCATATGCATAAATTGAATTAGTATCACCAATAACTCCAAAGTAAAAAAAAAAATAAAGATTTGTTTTTACCACATTCACATTAGTATCATCACCGAACGAGGAATCTTCAACACGAGGAGTAGAGTTTGAATCTGGTTCAATAGTAAAAATTAAAATTAGGCTAAAATAGTAAATTTTACATGTATTAAATTAAATGGGTAAATGGATACCCGTTATAACCGCGGGTAATACTCATAACCGCCCATTTAAATTTCACGGATAAACGGTTACCCATAATCATAACTGTCAACTTTTAAATAGGCGGGTAACCGCGGTTACCCAAACCCATGGGTATTTTGCCCATCTCTACTGAAGCCTCATCCTCAAATGTATAGGGTGAAAGGGAGGTGATTTTCACATTTTGTTTTTTTTTAACTTTTTACACACCTTTGTTTGATAAAAGAGGTGTGTGAGAAGCTAAAAAAAATGAAAAACACTTTCCCTGATGAAAAGGTCTTGTTGAAACTCTCGAACAAAGAAGATAGGTACCAAAAAATAGAGAAAAGTTGTTGATTGGTGAATTTACGTGGTATGTGAAATGTGGTTTTTCTAGCATAACTCTTTTGAGTTTTTAGCTGGACACTTTACGCTCAAGTTATAAATTCGTACACTATTGGCTGATTAGTTTGTCTAAATGTCAGATTATTTTTTAGAGGTGGCACTCAATTGATCAATTTTTTCGTAGCGTCATACTGATGACAAATGGTCTGGAAAGTCCTAATTGGACTATCAATAAGAACTTTTTTCATGTAAGCAAATATTAGGCTTATCGAGTGTCATGTAAAATATAGTACACTTCATAGTTCAGCAGATGAAGGGATCAATGATGTGAAAATATGTAGCTTCAAGTGTATGGAGTCCAATATTCTAGTGGATAAGATGTTCAAGTTCGAAACTCGTAATAGTTTCAAACTATCTCCCTTCCGCTTGTAATAGTAAAATTAAAAAACAAAAAATTTAAAATCTGCAGCTTCTAGTAGAATGTCAATTTGAAAAACTACATGCCCAAAGTACAAGGGTATCCCCCAGAATATAATAAAGCGAAAGAAAATTTTGAAAAATTTCCCATATGAGAACAAAAAGTTGGGGTTTTTCACATGTACGCTCTTTGAAGCCTTTATTAGCCAATTTTGCTTCAGCCAAATACCACTACTATTTCACATTCTTGAAAGCACTTTCTTGTTGAATTATAAGTCTATAGCCGATTAGTATTAGTGAAATAAGATTAGTATTAGTGAAAGCATCGATGTATAAATAAGAAAAGGCAATACAACAAGTCTTGAGTAATAGACAACCCCCTCGGAATCCGACAGTTTCGTTTTCTTGAGAGCACTTTCTGGAAAAGCAGTGCAAAACGTTGCCCTTGCCTATAGAGCCAGTCCCAGAGAATGAGAGATTGTCAATGATATCCAAAGGATAGTAGACAACAGAGGAGAAAATATTCATTTCTAATTAGTAATACTAACACGATAACATAATAACAAGAATGAAGCGCCGCGTAGGGGCTTGGGCCTCAAAGATTATAGCTTGAATTGCTATTGCGACTACAATACAACCTACGGCTACAGCTACATATTGTACAGTACATGATTGTTGAAACTTCCTTTGCAGATTAGCTAAGCATGCCCCGTTTGCACTAGGCTACCTGTAATATATTGACACAATAACTAAGTACAGATCATTGAAACAGTTTGAGGAAAGTGAGAGGTCGCAAATTCAGAATCACATGGAAAAGAAAATGAATTGTTTGCCAAATTACAGATGTTCTGAAACAAGGGCACATCTATAAGGTCCTAACCACCACAAGCTCAAAAGGCTAGGCACCCAACAATAGCAGCACAAAAGAACTAATCCACATACTTATTATGTTTTATGTTTGTTGATATGGGAGGGTGAAAATCACACAAAATTCTCAGGTAAGTTACAAATAATGCTGTTTATTCGTCTTATAAACCTACTATGCACCATTCCAATATGAAGAAGAAAAAAAAAAACACTCCATGGGGTAATTGTCAATGTCATTTTTCAGCTAAATAAGTTATTCATTATCACATCCTGTTTAATATGTCCTATGAGGAGCCTACTCCAAATTACAACATAATAAACAAAAGCTATAATATATAATGCTGTAGTATCACAACAGTTGTCACCTACCTCATCAAAGAGAGCATGATCGAGTTTCCATAACCAAGAAGAATAACCACAGAAAAAAATACATGCATAAGTGGATTACTCAGGAACAGACTCCAATACCCCTTTAAACTCATCATAAATCCATCTGCATATAAAATAAGTAAAAAATAAGGTGAAAATATTAAGAAACAAATAACAGAATAACAAATAGAATTATCCTACCACATAATAGGATAAAAAACGGCTACTGACATTAAGCAAAGCCACTTGTGCACACATACATTGTGAGTGTGTGTGTGCGTGTGTGTAAAGAATCTAGGAATTTGTGGAGAAAACACACAGACGGCAACGAGTAAGTATCCCATATGATCCACACACTCAAAGAATTGCACTCTTCCATTAGAAGACACGTACAAAACACTTATTTATTTCTGTGCCATAAAAGAACTAAAAAGCCTTACTTGCAAAGGAAGATTGGCCGCAATTCATTATTTGCCTCTTGTTCTAACTGGCTCCTTCTTTCAGTTTCTCCACTGAACTTAGCAGGAGAAAGAACTTCACAAGGACCTCGAATCAAACCAGCCATTACAGTGCTATCATGATTAGATTCATAGACCTGCAACATAAACAAGGAAAAAATATTAAACTTCCATACGGATATTATAAATATTGTACATGTCAGGAGAGAGAGAGAGGCCTTTAGATCACCATAGAGTGTCAAATTAAATTGCACCATGCAAAGTATAGTACCTTTAGAAAGATATATCATATTGGTGCATGTGTTCGCAATCATGTGCATCATATGACAAAATCAGTAGTCCCATTCTACTTGTCAACTGATATGAACATTTTACAGAAGACATAAATACATAGCACAGTACTTTTTGGTCATCGCATAGAACGTATACGTACAGGAATAAACGTTTACCTCATTGCTTTCAGGTGTAGATGGGCGACCAACATTCTCTGGTAAGTCACCAGGAAAGTAGCACCTGTTGACAATTGCCCACTTTGACCCAGTTTTCCTATCCTCCCACATGGACTGTAATGAAATTACAAAGTCATGACAACCCTTCTAATAAAAAGAAAAAAAGCTCAATATAACCATAAACAGATGAAAATGTTTCTAAAACAAACAAGTGATTTTGCTACTTAAAAATTCACTTACCTGAAGCTTCGAGGGTATCAATTTTCCATGACTAGACTGGAAAAGAGCATGATCTCGCAGTTGATATGTTACCTCATCAATGCAACAAGTATGGTAATATATTTTTTCATCACCACCTTGAACTACATCGCCAATCCATTCAACAACTTTCAAGCCATCTGAACAAAATCTGAAATGCTCTAGAGCCCGACCACTAGCTACAGAACTTTCACCAGTATTTGCTTGTGCACCGCTTTGGTCATCCTGTTTGATGTCATATCTTAAAGAGGAGCCAGAGTTTCCTACCAAGTGAGAAGTATCTGGGTTTTTCAATGTAGAATTCTGGAATATCATTGATGGAACTTCTGAACAGTTGGGCAGCCCAGCACAGTCCACAACTTGTGTGTTGGAAGGGGGTTGGGAGTGATCAGACTTATCCACACCTTTGTTGAAAAAATCAGCAGAAGGTTCTGCTTTTGATTCAAAACGTATCTCTTCAACTCTAGATGATTCAGTAGTTTCTTGTGGTTCAACAGGAGGCTCTGCTTTTGAATCAGAAGGCCTCTCTTCAACTCTAGATGATTCAGTAGTTTCCTTTGGTTCACCATGAGGCTCTGCATTTGATTCGTCAGGAAGGTCCTCTTTTGATTCAGGAGGAAGTTCTGCCTTCGATTCAGAAGGTATCTCATCAACTCTAAATGATTCAATAATTTCTTTTGGTTCAGTACGAGGCTCTGCTTTTGATTGAGCAGGAGGTTCTGCTTTTGATTCAGAAGGTCTCTCTTCAACTCGAGAGAATTCAGTAGTTTCTTTTGGTTCAACAGGACGCACCACATTTGATTCAGCAGGAGGTTCTGCAATTGATTCAGAATGTCTTTCTTCAACTCTAGATGATCTAGTAATTTCTTTTGGTTCAGCAGGAGGCTCTGATTTTGATTCAGGACATCTCTCCTCCGATCTTTCTATCGATGGGTAACTTCCAGAAAGAGGTTTCTCATCCATATTTTTAATACTTGATGTGAGATTCTTTACTTGAGATTCTTTTGCATTTAAAATCTTTAGATCTGGTGCTGACTCAACGTGATTGCTGGCCCCACCACCTATACCAGCAATATTCTGCAAAACAGAACTTCCCTTTGCAGTTGTCTTCGGCTGATTGACCTTTAGATCAAAAGTTCCCAGTTTATTCTCCAAGGATGTTTGAACTCCAGCTGTGTTAGAAGGGACTTTTACTTGTATATTACTTCTCATCACACGTCCATACTTGGGAGGCAAAGGCTTTCCGTTGCTCAATGACAGGCATCTCATGCAGTGCCACTCACCTCTAGGAATTCCTCTCTGATTAGATGATTGTGCACACATTATGTGATATCCTCTCTCACAGGCATCGCAAATAAGAACATTGTCTACCTCATTGATGGTAAGCTGGCAACTCTGGCAAGCCAAAGACTTACTCATGTAATCCCTTGATGGAGGAATCCATGTAGGATGATCAGGAGGCTGTGGTTGCAATAATTTCTGAATAATTTTCGCAATTTCATTGTGATTGTTAGAAAGCGAATGAGCTTTAACAAAGTCCATCTGTTGCAAGGGCTGATGTACAATGGGTAGATTTCCAGAAGCTAATTGGGAGACAAATGGCTTGGTATTCTGATTCAGTGCAGCTACAGGAGTCATCTGTGGCATATTCATACCAGTACTTCCTTCAACTTTGACGGATATATGATTTGGCACCTTGTGTTCTGGTCCACTTTTGGCAGATTGAGTTTGCACTGACCAAGCTGGAGCATTCACTGATGGAAGTGGATGATTTGAGGACGAATTTGCTGCACATGGAAAAATATGGTGTAAATACTTACATATGCAGAGAGGAGACAGAGTCAGTAGTAATGACGCATAAAAATTCCATAAAAAGGATACCTTTTCATACAAGTAAAGTTAGAGGACATTAGTTACCTTGTACTTGAGATGCATAAGAAGATGCATTTGCATTTGGTCCTCCATCTGATCTGAACTGGGCTCTTTCAACTCTAAGCACTGTTGGGGTAGTAGAATCCCTGCCTAGATGGATGCTAGGAAAACCACTAGACACCATGGATGCTCTAACATCATTGTTGGGAAACTGATACTGTGTAGGTGTGGGAGTTGCCGTGGATACATGAACAAGAGACGGAGTAACAGGGAAACCTCCTGAGGAAATTGGTGCATGACTTGGTTTGCTTGTAGGAATCATATGAACAGTATGCGGCATCCCATGGGTTTCAGCTGCTGCATTGAAGCTTTTTTTAAATTGGTGAGCGGGATGCGTAGCAGGTTGAGCTAGTGCAGAGAATTTCTTGGATTCTTCCATCTAAAAAAGAATTTCAAGTTCAGAAAAAATAGTTTTACAGTCCAAAAAAATCCTAAACTGAAAGTTTGGCAACCCTTATATGCTGTAATATGGCATTAGCCATACACTGTCAAAGACAACTTCTTGGTCAAATGACTTTAGACTTCACAACTAGCTACTAATTCAAACACTGCCACACACGCTTACAGAAATCTGATACTTTTTTGAATAAAAATTAAACCTTTCAGTATAACCGAAGACTATCACTATGCAATGAACTGCATATATAAATTATAATGGTAAAAGGAACCAACAAACCCAAGATGTTCACATCGACTAAGCCAAATAGTTCCACCGTGACCAATTATGAAACCATAACAAAAAATGCTTTCACCCTTAATGTCTCAAAACCATACAGATATACCTTAAACGCATATAAAATCAAAACGCCAAACCATATGAACTATTTTACTATCAGTCCATTACCTACAATTTATAATTCAGAATCCAAAGCTTCCTTCTTTATTCATTTGCCTAACACGTTCCCATCAATCAAACAACAGATCGGACCAATTAAAAACTAAAACCTACTCAATAATCTCAAAACTCAAAAACCCTACCAAATCAAAAAATTGAGTCCTTACTTTCCTCTTCGTCTGCAAAAATTTCTCCGCAATCGTCAACTTGGGACCCCAGAATCCTAATCTCTGTTCCTTAAGCATAGCATTGAGCCCCGCATCCTCAATCACAGCCCCAATTGCATCCCTACCCACAATATCCTTAGGGGCCAACCCTTCACACAGCTCCACCAGCTTCGACCTAGCTTCCCCCATAAGCCTAATCTCCGGCTCCGTGGGCTTCTTGCCCCCTCGAATCTTGGCCATAGTCGACAAGGCCAGCACAATCTCCGCCACCCTCCTCAGATCTTTCTCCGAATTGGGTCCCAATCTGGGCTTCTTGTTCAATTGGGTCCCCAAATCTCCTTCTCCTCCGTTCCCAATCGGCCTCTTTTCCCCAATTGAGAACGCCGGCGGACTCGACTGAGTGAGTTGGGCGTTCAGAGGCGGATCCATAACTAAGGGGCTGACAGAGCGACGCCCCCAGACGACGCCGTTCAGCGCGTAGAGGAAGGGGAGCTCAGAGAGAGACACAGAAGAGGAGGGAGAAACCCTAGCTAGGACAGAGAGAGCCGGAGAGGCTTAGCCGTTGGGGGTTTGGGGATTTGAAAAGGCGAAATTTTTGTGAGGGAGAAAAACTAAAGCTTTTTTGGCGGGTAAATTTGAGGGGTTTTATTTGGGTGAGTGATTAAAATTTTGATAATGTAGTTGAGTTGGTTTGTGAGTTTGGGGGCGAGTGAGAGAGAGGAGAGAGAGGGAGTTTTGGGTTTCGATTCAGTGGGGGGACGAGTGGACGAGCAGTGCGAGTTTAGAGAGAGAGAGGGGGTTATTTCGTCTTTTAGAAATGGTTGCTCCGTGGGCCGTGGATTTACCATGACCGGTTTGTTAAGTTGCAACCGGTTACTTGACAACAAAAATAAAACAAGGGCCAGTTTGAGATTATTGTTTTTTTTTTTTAAATAAATTAATTTTTATGTGTTTTAAAAATAATATGTATAATAAAATGGTTAAAAATTTAAGAAAAAAGAGTTATTTCATTAGCACCTCATGAATTGTCGAATACATCTTACATCTACCTTTTAAATTACAATTCATCTTAATACATCTCATCAGATACATTCTAATTCTACCCGCACACCTCACACTTCACTATCTATATACATCCTATATTCTAGTATTACAGTTTAGTAGTTTTCTTTTTATCTGTAAGTTAGAGATTTTAGGTTCAATTCTCACCAAAGACGAATTTGAACCACATTATTACTAAGAGTAAACTCTATCCTCTATTCTTAATGTAAATAATAACAATTGTTAAAAAAAATAAAAATAAAAACTCGCGGTTCGTCCTACTTTCAATTCAAACAATAAGTAACTTTTTCCAAGGATGGATCAACTTACATGGATTTGTACTTGTAACAACTATACAGGAGATGTACACATTTTTTTAAGGTGCAATGGAGATGTACATTAATTAGGAAACGTCCTACAATAAGTTAGGATTTGTGTAGTACTGTAATGGTCTTTGAGGCGTTTGTTTACCCTCACTAACTGTTATTGGACTAGACTGGACTAACTATTAGTCTAGTCAGATGTTTGTTATCATTCGGGAATAGTGTTAATGAGACTAGCCCGGACTCGTCTACACTAAATGCTTCACTAAAGGTTCTTAGCGAGAGTCCCCGAAAATCATGAGCCTAGCTAAGACCTCTCCCAACTCTCTGTTTCACTCTCTCTTTCCTCTCTCCTCTCCCTGAATTCAAACCCAAAATTCGCCACCTTGTGCCTCCCCGCGTGCATCTCATGTTTATCACCAATCTCGTAGTCGAGAGGCAACACTTTTCCTCTACTCAGATCCTTAGCTTGCTCCTCTTCATCTGCCACGACACCGTCGCCAAATTCCATGATGCCCACCAAAATCCATATATGGATCTGCAAAAACCCAGAAAACAAAAATCAATTACAAAACCCATATTATATTCTTCAAGAATGCTTGAGTTGTGAAAATGGTGGAGTTTGATGATAATAGTGAAAAGGAATGGAGTTTGATGGTCTGCAATTTCAACATCCAAAAGATGGCTGTTTCTGATAATAGTGAGAATGAATGGAGTTTGACAATGAAGGGGACAGTAAAGAGAAAGTGCGAGGGAGTTGGAGTTTGACGATGAAGGGGATAGTAAAGAGAGAGTGAGAGGGAGTTGGAGGGGCAAGAGAAAAAGATGGAGAGCTTTCGAGAGTGGGAGAGTTTTCTAGAAAAGGGCAAAAAAAACAAAAAACAAAAAAAAATGTAAAAGATAAGAATTAATTACTATTTTGATTATTTTAGTTATTTAGTTTGATACTGCATCAAACACTTCATTAAATTAATCCAGCTTAATCTATTTTAAACCAGTCCAACTTAGTCATTAAAGTTAGTCCAATCCGAGATAGTCCGGTACAACAAACACACCCGAAAGATATGTTTGCAATTTAGTGTTAGAAAACACACTGCTTACACTCAGTAATCAAGAAAAAAATTCATTTAGACCGGAACACGGATGATACACCATGTATTTTTAGATAAGTAATTTTACTTTTAAAGTTATTATCTTTTTTACACACATATTTCACCATTTGTATAATGACATGTAATGTACCATTTCGTATTTCAATCATACTGAAAGATCTCTCCAATAACCAATGGTTGTCATGTTCTTAGTAGCAGTACCTGTAGAAAAGTGTACTTGGCCAGAATGAATTATTGTATTGAAAGTCAACCTTTAGGACTAGGATTGTATGTCATCCTCATCTCATACCCTTCTCATGCCCTCCTATATTTTGTGGTCACGGTTAAGCCACGTCAACATTTTATATTGATTTTTTTTATAGAAATAATAAGACAAAAAGTAATGGGAATATAAAATATTGATGTGGCTTAACCGTGATTACAGAAATAGGAGGGCATGAAGAGGGTATGGAATGAGGAGGGCAGACAATCCAAGTCCCAACCTTTATACGGAAGTTTCCCTACAAACTAGCAGCTAATCCAGTTATCTTGATGTACAAGAAAGGTAGGAAATATAATAACTAATCAATTGCAAATATTGACAGGAAATTTGATCCACCTAATCCATATTGACATGCCGAATGTATTCTCTGAATAATTTGAATTCCAATTACGTTTTAACATTTTTTCTCAAGTTAGAGAATGAATGTCAAGAACGTCCAACTTGCTCAACATGGTCGGAATTTATTCTTTGCCCAACGCTTTTGTAAACAGTTAAAAATTGTACGCTAGCTAACTGAAAGTCGAGGGTGCAGTGGTCATTTCTCCCTCCATGTCCCAGAATGCTACACATGATTTTGTAAATGCTTGATATTAATATTGTGGTGAATCAAAACGTTAATGCAAGATTTAGAAAATTAGGTTCACTTCCTTCTTTTTGTTACTCCATTGATTAAAATCCTATTCATTTTCAATTTTTTATCAAGGTCCTTAAGTATTAATAATGTCACATCCCGGCCCGGGGTGGATCACTTCCCGGGCCAGCTCCATCACCGCAGCACGATATTGTCCGCTTTGGGCTTACCATTCCCTCACGGTTTTGTTTTTAGGAACTCACGAGTAACTTCCCAATGGGTCACCCATCCTGGGAATGCTCTGGCCTCCTTCTTGCTTAACTTCGGAGTTCCTACGGAACCCGAAGCCAGTGAGCTCCCAAAAGGCCTCGTGCTAGGTAGGGATGAGAATATACATTTAAGTATCACTCCCCTGAGCGATGTGGGATGTTACAAATAACATCATTAATTATTTGAATAATAAAATATTTTTTATTTTTAAATATATTCCTTTAGTGTTAAAAATGTTACAATTAGTATATTTATATTCATGGCTAAATTTTTTATCATATATTTTTATTTTTAGTTTGTACCAATTTTCTTTTCATTTTTTATTTGTACCCATATATTAGTTTCTTTTTGTGCCCATACTTTTTAAAGTTTTATTTGTGTTTGTACTGATATGTATACCATCACGTGACATTGTATATTTAATCAATGATAAAAAAAATTACATATGGTATACTTATGTTTTATGCCTAAACTTTGTATCATATATTTATATTTTTAGTTTGTACCCACTTTTAATTTGCAACATAGTTTTTTTAATATGTTGTATTTTCTTTTTAGTTTTATTTTGTACCCATGTATTAATTTATTTTAGCGCCTATATTTTTAAAAAATTCATTTGTACTCATAATTTTTAATATTTTATATGTACCTTAATTTATTTATAATGTACTCATTCTTCTTTATTAATATACCACTTTGTTATATGTGAAATGTACCAATTTTTTTAACACTATGGACACATTCTTTTGCCATTTATTATTTCTTATTTTTACATAGTTTTTATCCATTTATTCAATCAAAATGTTTGAATTTTTTTATTGTAACCGTTTCTGACACACCCCGACCTAAATCAGGGCATGCTGGCCGTCACGTGAGGGTGATGTAGCCATGTGCACAGTGCGGAAGCAATAAAGATATAAGGAATTACGAATAAACAAAAACCAAATCAACTAGAGTACTAGATAAGATAAGGTTTAAGTGCAAGATTAAGTGTGAAATACACAATCAGAGCATAAATAGCCTAATTGCAGTCAGGCAAGACAAGTACTAATTATACAACACTTAAAGGTGATCCTACATTTATGATGTTCTGTCAGAACCACCGTCGAAATTCCCATGAGCCACCAAAGCACTTCTACCTAAAACTTGGAGGGGCGCAAAACAGAAAGTGTGAGTGGGCAAAAACAAACCTTTTCGAAATCATATCATTTCTCAAAAGTTCTAAACCATCGCCGTAAAACCTGTATAATTTCCCAGAAAATATAATATATGCTATATCATAAATCACGCTTAGGATGAAAGTCTATAGAAATATACCATGCCAAAGTATCTTAATGAAATGCTATAAGTAATCCAATTAAAATGTATCAATGCCAGATATCATATCAGCCAAATCCACCTATGTGACATGCACGGCTGAGTCTATAGCTCATAACCAATCTCAATCATATCGAATTCTGCACACGAGTCGGAACTACCTAAAGTGGTCTGTACAACAGGACTAGGTGTAAAATAAATATGCTCTAGTGCTACGATCACGTGAAGATTGTGCGAATGATCGCGGGTCACCTACGAGTCGAAACCACCTAAAGTGGTCTGTACGACAAGCATGTGCAGCTAACTTGAATCCAAGGTGAGCATATGGTGCGGGAGGTGAACATCACGTGAAGGACTGTGTCCTAACTTTGGGCGGGAGCACTAACACCGGGGTGCAGGTTTACGAACATCACATCATATCTCGCATAACTGAAGCAATCTCATATCTTTAATTTATGAACTTACCTGGCACTTACATGTGCGTCTGCAACACCAATCTTAAATATATGCAACTACTAATGCATAAATAAAATAGGCAGATACTTTGCATGGCATTTCAAAACGTATAATCATTCAAATTCATTTTCTGGGAAAAATCTCAAGTATATAGGTATATACGGAAAACCAAAAGTCCACTCACTGGTATCTCGAAGGGTCGTAGCCCCTGAGCCTTGATTGATGGCCCTCGTCCTCAGGATAAGTCTTACCTATATGCGAAATAACTGAATAAACGTTAATTAAAGCATATACACAAAATTAGGAAATAACTTCTCATACATTACTCAAATGGGCTATTAGAATATACCACCATGACCTACTCAACCTCAGGAACATCACCATATTTTTAGAAAAACATTTCACGACCCTACGCGCCGGCCAAGG